TCAAACTAAGCACGTGTTACAAGTAAAGAAATAAAATAATGTAACGGCATTCTCAACTGTCTGCTACATTATGTGGAGGCTCCCCACGTGCCCATGCGTGGTGGCGATGAGGAGGGGAAAGCGGTAAATTTGCCTGCCGATAAGTGCCTGAGACCTAATCTTTTCAAGCTGTATTCCCTGAATCTCGGCGGAGCGTGGTTGTACCTCAGAGGAACCATGATATCAGTACAGTTCTGTATTTTGCTTATCATGGTTTTTGTTCTTATGGTGCTTATCGCGTTAACCTGCACGGTTCTGCATGTTGTTGACAGACGTAACAGTAACCTGACAGATTCTGAAAGAACGCCTCTTTTGCAGTCGGGGAAAAACAGGCGTTCATATACTGATGTCTATTTCATATAGGTTTGATTTATGTGTTGTTAATAGCTCATCATTTTACCGCAATAAACGTTATGATGAAATCTAGCCGTTTTTCTATTACCTTAGTGTTATTATATGTATATATATATATATATATATATATATATATATATATATATATATATATATATATATATATGTATATATATATATTTTCCTAGACAAGAAGTTCCAATCATTGTTATGCTTATAATACATTATATCAGAATATCAGTAGGCGACCCCCTGCAGTGGCATCTCTGGTAATTCAATCTATTTTAACAAAAAAGGATGTCCATATTTACATGCATTCATCAGACACAAAATATTTCAAATAACATTACGAAATATAAATAACAAAACCTAAAAAGACGAAAATCCATCGCGCCTTTCGCTCCTCGCCCGTCACTTGCTCCGCGTCTTCGGCAAAGTCAACATGGGCAAACACAAGGGCGAGAAGCAGGACGGGGAAAACCTCAATGAAAGTCACATAAATAATGGCGAAGAAGGTGAACTTAGCTATGAGGAGAAACTCGCCTTCGCCAGCATCATCGCCCAGCCCATGGCGTCAAAAAAGCTGGCCGGAAGGATTTACAAATTGGTGAAGAAAGGTGAGGCGCCGCTTGCGTTGGTCGGGACACGTGGGGGTCTTGGAAAACGAGGTCGAAAACAAGTGCTGGTTTAGGGTATTTTCAGGGAATGACTATGGCGGTCTATATGTTTTTTAGATGTTATATGATGTGTCATCCTTATTACGATTGATAATGACTCTGCCATAGTTTGCCACGTGTGAGAAACGTGTTGGAGGGTCGTGGTAGGTTTGTAGCTTAGAGAGCCCGATTTTGACTTTATTTATGGTGACTGATAATTAAAATAACGATCGTATCTGAGATGAGCTAGATGGCCTGTGAGAACTATCATCCTACTGAAATTTAATCGTGATATGTTGGAGTGAATTTTTATTTGGCCGACGAGCGGCGCGTTGTTATCCGCACCGCCACGGTGCGGATAAGTAAACTAGCGGGGTTATTCGTACCGTCACGGTGTGGATTTGCTCAATTTTCAATGTTATTCGTACCGTAACGGTTTGGTTAACGTCACGGTGTAAATTAGTAATTAACCTAACCTAGCCTAGCCTAGCCTAGCCTCTCCCAGCCTAGCCTAGCCTAGCCTAGCCTAGCCTCTCCTAGCCTAGCCTAGCCTAGCCTAGCCTAGCCTAGCCTAGCCTAGCCTAGCCTAGCCTAGCCTCTCCTAGCCTAGCCTAGCCTAGCCTAGCCTAGCCTAGCCTAGCCTAGCAGACCTGACCGTAAGGTCCTAGGTATACCCTACGAGGCAACCATGTCGCACACAGTGGCAGGGTATAGCTCGCTAAAGTGGGTAAAATACACTATTACCGGCATAATCGTTATAAAACATGTTAAACATCACTTTATCAATCGATAGATAAGATATATGACAATTAGAAGGCAATTAATCATGCACTAACCTGGGAAAAAGGCAAGCTTAATAGACAAAAACAAAATGACACGGATGGCCCACTGCGCAACTACTTCTGCGCAACAGGAATGAAGCTCTCCCATTTCTTGATTACCACGGTACGAATAAGATAGAAACGAAGACAATCCGCACCGTCACGGTACGAATAGCCAGTGTGTTTTTATTTATCTCAGCATAGGGCTGGCATTCGGCTGACCTGATGCTAACCTGTTAACATCTTGGGTCAGCAAGTTTAATGAGCTGAAAAATTGTTATTGAAGTCAAGAAGTTAAGGAACACTTTTCACTCGCCTGCAATTGGTGTTAGGGAATATATACCACGGTGTTAGGTTAGGTTGGGTATTGGGTTAGGACGTTTTGTTTGACAACCACGGGGGTCCTGTTTTACCTTTTGTATGTCTGAATCCTTGTTTTTCTCTTCCTCACCCCTTTCCAGAATTGTGATATTTGCTGGTGATGTATCCCCAATAGAAGTTATGTGTCACCTTCCTGCCGTTTGTGAAGAGAAGGACCTGCCATACATATACACACCTTCCAAACAAGACCTAGGAACTGCAATGGGACGAAAGAGATGCTCAGTCATGGTGCTTATTCGAGAGCACAGTGATTATCAGGATTTGTATGATAAAGTACTTGAAGAAATTAACAAAGTGCCCAAAGTATTTTAGGCTGACTTTTTGTTTGTGCTCTGCTAGATTTGTTTTCTTTTATATTTTCTCTATCTTTTATTATCATCTTGGAAAGTATTCCGATTACTTTTGTATACACAAATATTTCTTAACATTCCTTGTCAATGTTTATTAATTTTTCAGAATTGTAGAGTTCAGTTCAAGAATTTATATTTTGTTATGATCAGGATTTCTTGATATTTTTTGTTTTAATTTATATTCCCACTGTGATGAGAACTTTTAGGAAATATTTGTTTGTTTTCATAGGTACTTCATTTTCAAGTACATATTTGTATAGAATAAGTATTCATAATAAAAAGTCTTTTTAAAATAAATTGCCTTTTCAGTTTGTAATCAGACCCTAAGATTTTAACCCCTTCTTGACGGGTGATGCCGATAGGCGTGAAAACAAACCACTAGAATTGTGGCGTGCAGCTGTACGCCAAAGCGAACTTCCGTGCTTAAAGTCGGTGCGCTGCCATTGATCGCCAGAGCATAGTTTTTTTTTTTTTTTTTTTTTCTTTTTTTGCAGCTTCCCAGCACCAGGGGTACCTGCATGATGGTCTGAAGGAAGTCCAAGGAAAGATTCGCAAAGGGTCAACAGGGTAAGAAGAATTGCATTTAATGTCAAAAGCTGGATGTGCAGAAGAATCGACAATTCCAAGTGTTGTTTTAACTTTTGTATGTCTGAATCCTTGTTTTTCTCTTCCTCACCCCTTTCCAGAATTGTGATATTTGCTGGTGATGTATCCCCAATAGAAGTTATGTGTCACCTTCCTGCCGTTTGTGAAGAGAAGGACCTGCCATACATATACACACCTTCCAAACAAGACCTAGGAACTGCAATGGGACGAAAGAGATGCTCAGTCATGGTGCTTATTCGAGAGCACAGTGATTATCAGGATTTGTATGATAAAGTACTTGAAGAAATTAACAAAGTGCCCAAAGTATTTTAGGCTGACTTTTTGTTTGTGCTCTGCTAGATTTGTTTTCTTTTATATTTTCTCTATCTTTTATTATCATCTTGGAAAGTATTCCGATTACTTTTGTATACACAAATATTTCTTAACATTCCTTGTCAATGTTTATTAATTTTTCAGAATTGTAGAGTTCAGTTCAAGAATTTATATTTTGTTATGATCAGGATTTCTTGATATTTTTTGTTTTAATTTATATTCCCACTGTGATGAGAACTTTTAGGAAATATTTGTTTGTTTTCATAGGTACTTCATTTTCAAGTACATATTTGTATAGAATAAGTATTCATAATAAAAAGTCTTTTTAAAATAAATTGCCTTTTCAGTTTGTAATCAGACCCTAAGATTTTAACCCCTTCTTGACGGGTGATGCCGATAGGCGTGAAAACAAACCACTAGAATTGTGGCGTGCAGCTGTACGCCAAAGCGAACTTCCGTGCTTAAAGTCGGTGCGCTGCCATTGATCGCCAGAGCATAGTTTTTTTTTTTTTTTCTTTTTTTGCAGCTTCCCAGCACCAGGGGTACCTGCATGATGGTCTGAAGGAAGTCCAAGGAAAGATTCGCAAAGGGTCAACAGGGTAAGAAGAATTGCATTTAATGTCAAAAGCTGGATGTGCAGAAGAATCGACAATTCCAAGTGTTGTTTTAACTTTTGTATGTCTGAATCCTTGTTTTTCTCTTCCTCACCCCTTTCCAGAATTGTGATATTTGCTGGTGATGTATCCCCAATAGAAGTTATGTGTCACCTTCCTGCCGTTTGTGAAGAGAAGGACCTGCCATACATATACACACCTTCCAAACAAGACCTAGGAACTGCAATGGGACGAAAGAGATGCTCAGTCATGGTGCTTATTCGAGAGCACAGTGATTATCAGGATTTGTATGATAAAGTACTTGAAGAAATTAACAAAGTGCCCAAAGTATTTTAGGCTGACTTTTTGTTTGTGCTCTGCTAGATTTGTTTTCTTTTATATTTTCTCTATCTTTTATTATCATCTTGGAAAGTATTCCGATTACTTTTGTATACACAAATATTTCTTAACATTCCTTGTCAATGTTTATTAATTTTTCAGAATTGTAGAGTTCAGTTCAAGAATTTATATTTTGTTATGATCAGGATTTCTTGATATTTTTTGTTTTAATTTATATTCCCACTGTGATGAGAACTTTTAGGAAATATTTGTTTGTTTTCATAGGTACTTCATTTTCAAGTACATATTTGTATAGAATAAGTATTCATAATAAAAAGTCTTTTTAAAATAAATTGCCTTTTCAGTTTGTAATCAGACCCTAAGATTTTAACCCCTTCTTGACGGGTGATGCCGATAGGCGTGAAAACAAACCACTAGAATTGTGGCGTGCAGCTGTACGCCAAAGCGAACTTCCGTGCTTAAAGTCGGTGCGCTGCCATTGATCGCCAGAGCATAGTTTTTTTTTTTTTTTTTTTTTTTTTTTCTTTTTTTGCAGCTTCCCAGCACCAGGGGTACCTGCATGATGGTCTGAAGGAAGTCCAAGGAAAGATTCGCAAAGGGTCAACAGGGTAAGAAGAATTGCATTTAATGTCAAAAGCTGGATGTGCAGAAGAATCGACAATTCCAAGTGTTGTTTTAACTTTTGTATGTCTGAATCCTTGTTTTTCTCTTCCTCACCCCTTTCCAGAATTGTGATATTTGCTGGTGATGTATCCCCAATAGAAGTTATGTGTCACCTTCCTGCCGTTTGTGAAGAGAAGGACCTGCCATACATATACACACCTTCCAAACAAGACCTAGGAACTGCAATGGGACGAAAGAGATGCTCAGTCATGGTGCTTATTCGAGAGCACAGTGATTATCAGGATTTGTATGATAAAGTACTTGAAGAAATTAACAAAGTGCCCAAAGTATTTTAGGCTGACTTTTTGTTTGTGCTCTGCTAGATTTGTTTTCTTTTATATTTTCTCTATCTTTATTATCATCTTGGGAAAGTATTCCGATTACTTTTGTATACACAAATATTTCTTAACATTCCTTGTCAATGTTTATTAATTTTCAGAATTGTAGAGTTCAGTTCAAGAATTTATATTTTGTTATGGATCAGGATTTCTGATATTTTTGTTTAATTTATATTCCCACTGTGATGAGAACTTTTAGGAAATATTTGTTTGTTTCATAGGTACTTCATTTTCAAGTACATATTTGTATAGAATAAGTATTCATAATAAAAAGTCTTTTTAAAATAAATTGCCTTTTCAGTTTGTAATCAGACCCTAAGATTTAACCCCTTCTTGACGGGTGATGCCGATAGGCATGAAAACAAACCGCTAGAATTGTGGCGTGCAGCTGTACGCCAAAGCAAACTCCGTGCTTAAAGTCGGTGCGCTGCCATTAATTGCCTGAGCATAGTTTTTTTTTTTTTTTTTTTTTCCTGCCGTTTGTGAAGAGAAGGACCTGCCATACATATACACACCTTCCAAACAAGACCTAGGAACTGCAATGGGACGAAAGAGATGCTCAGTCATGGTGCTTATTCGAGAGCACAGTGATTATCAGGATTTGTATGATAAAGTACTTGAAGAAATTAACAAAGTGCCCAAAGTATTTTAGGCTGACTTTTTGTTTGTGCTCTGCTAGATTTGTTTTCTTTTATATTTTCTCTATCTTTTATTATCATCTTGGAAAGTATTCCGATTACTTTTGTATACACAAATATTTCTTAACATTCCTTGTCAATGTTTATTAATTTTTCAGAATTGTAGAGTTCAGTTCAAGAATTTATATTTTGTTATGATCAGGATTTCTTGATATTTTTTGTTTTAATTTATATTCCCACTGTGATGAGAACTTTTAGGAAATATTTGTTTGTTTTCATAGGTACTTCATTTTCAAGTACATATTTGTATAGAATAAGTATTCATAATAAAAAGTCTTTTTAAAATAAATTGCCTTTTCAGTTTGTAATCAGACCCTAAGATTTTAACCCCTTCTTGACGGGTGATGCCGATAGGCGTGAAAACAAACCACTAGAATTGTGGCGTGCAGCTGTACGCCAAAGCGAACTTCCGTGCTTAAAGTCGGTGCGCTGCCATTGATCGCCAGAGCATAGTTTTTTTTTTTTTTTTTTTTTTTGTTTTTTCTGTTTTTTTTTGTTTTTTTTTTTTTTTTTTTTTGTTTTTTTTTTTTTTTTTTGTTTTTTTTTTTTTTTCTTTTTTTGCAGCTTCCCAGCACCAGGGGTACCTGCATGATGGTCTGAAGGAAGTCCAAGGAAAGATTCGCAAAGGGTCAACAGGGTAAGAAGAATTGCATTTAATGTCAAAAGCTGGATGTGCAGAAGAATCGACAATTCCAAGTGTTGTTTTAACTTTTGTATGTCTGAATCCTTGTTTTTCTCTTCCTCACCCCTTTCCAGAATTGTGATATTTGCTGGTGATGTATCCCCAATAGAAGTTATGTGTCACCTTCCTGCCGTTTGTGAAGAGAAGGACCTGCCATACATATACACACCTTCCAAACAAGACCTAGGAACTGCAATGGGACGAAAGAGATGCTCAGTCATGGTGCTTATTCGAGAGCACAGTGATTATCAGGATTTGTATGATAAAGTACTTGAAGAAATTAACAAAGTGCCCAAAGTATTTTAGGCTGACTTTTTGTTTGTGCTCTGCTAGATTTGTTTTCTTTTATATTTTCTCTATCTTTTATTATCATCTTGGAAAGTATTCCGATTACTTTTGTATACACAAATATTTCTTAACATTCCTTGTCAATGTTTATTAATTTTTCAGAATTGTAGAGTTCAGTTCAAGAATTTATATTTTGTTATGATCAGGATTTCTTGATATTTTTTGTTTTAATTTATATTCCCACTGTGATGAGAACTTTTAGGAAATATTTGTTTGTTTTCATAGGTACTTCATTTTCAAGTACATATTTGTATAGAATAAGTATTCATAATAAAAAGTCTTTTTAAAATAAATTGCCTTTTCAGTTTGTAATCAGACCCTAAGATTTTAACCCCTTCTTGACGGGTGATGCCGATAGGCATGAAAACAAACCGCTAGAATTGTGGCGTGCAGCTGTACGCCAAAGCAAACTTCCGTGCTTAAAGTCGGTGCGCTGCCATTGATCGCCAGAGCATAGTTTTTTTTTTTTTTTTTTTTTTTTTTTTAGTTTTCTCCACCTGTTACCATTGGGTTAAATTACAGACATAGATGTATGTAATAAGTCTACAGACCCATAAGAGAACATTTTTACTCTTAATTTTATTAACTAAGACTAACCTACCTCCTATTTGAGCTCATGTATGGGGTCTTTCTGAATAACAATCCGTCTTCAGTTGAAGTTGTTAAAAAGGAGAGTAAAAATCTCATGCTTTCACATTCCTATGTATATAGTCTTTTATCCACAAATTTTTACACCCTCATCATTAACTTGCAAAAGAATGTACAATTCTGTATTTGGAATGCTAAAAATATATTAAAGCAGTTACAGACATCTCATGCTCTGTAGAGACTTCGCAGAACAAAGGAGTCCTGAATTTGGCAACATTCTTGCATAACTAATTTATTTCTTGTGCAGACCAGTTGAACCTCCTCATACAAGACACTAGCCATTAGCAAATTAAAGATAGTTTACAATCCTGGTTTATTAGAACAGAACAGGTACTGAATTACATTTTCAAGCAAGGGGTGGGGTGGAGGGGAGTTGGTTCCATGTAATAAAGTTCATAAATATTTACTTTAATATTAAAATAGGGTGATGTATTTAGGAAGGAGTAAAGAGAAAAAATGGAACGCTTAACCGATGTATATATTTAATATGTACGTGTGTTATGAAGTTTCTAAATTTCTCTAAGACTAGAGATTATTATTTGACAACCTTGTGATTTGCATAACATTTTGTTCACTTCACTGGTTTGCAATAGTTTTAATTATAAATACTTGAAAGGAGCATGTTGATAGAAGGAAAAATAGGTGAGCACAGCTTTTGCAGTTGTAAATACTAAATATGGCATCAACATTTTCCTCATCAAAGATTGTATGTACATTTGAAAATATACAGATCTACATACTATTTATCGTAGGAAATAAATTCCTGAACATATTTCTGGAATTAGACTAATGGAGAATACATTTAGATCTATGACAGTCAGGAAAAATCACTTCCAACTGGTGTGCATTGATGGCAATATATATAGAAAATTCAAAATCAGGAATATTACCAGTATACGAATTTAATACAAAGACCACTTTGGTTTTATGCAGCTACAGTGATTGCACATTTATCTATAAAATAAAACAAATACAATTTGGGTCATTGGTATGAAGCCATGTTAACCTTCAATAAATGTAAACATCAACCTTTACAACTACTTCTGAAGTAAAGATACCTCACAGTTGTACCAAATGTTTATACATATGTACTTTATATTACACAAAATGGCCAAACTACTAAATTTCATTGCCTGGGAAATAAGCTATAGAAAACAATCTATTTACATAACATATTACTGAGGCTGAAGTTTGAGAGCAGCAACGTTGAAGGAATCGCCTTTATGTTGTGCTATAAGAGATAGCAATTTCAACTTATTCTGGTGAGCATTGGAGGACTCAAGCTCATACATGGTTGCCAAATTCAGGATGATAGCTTCATGCAGAAATCTGTCAGGTTGTGAAAAGACAGCACCTTCCACAAGCTTGATGGCTTCTGTCACCCTACCCGTGTACATGAGGCAAACTCCTAAATTGTTAATAACCTGCAAGAAGAAAGGAGGCCAATTAGCTAGTCAAATACATTTCACTGCATTGTAATCTGCATTAGGTTTAATAGGTTATTAGCCAAAATGCATGCTGATTAATATTCAAATTATAATTCTGAACATTTATTACATTTTACAGGAATTGATACTGATATCTGTAGGCATTTCACAAAAAAAAACTATTGCACAACATTTGTGTATAATAATCAGAACATACCAATCCATTGTTTGGGTTAATTTTGTGGGCTTGTTGCAAGATCTCTGTTGCATCCTTAAAAGCATTCTGTGCTATCGATATATATGCAGAATGCAGTAAACCTTGAACTGGATCATGGTGTGGTGGTGGGGGAGTATGCTCTAAATAGTGATTGAAAGTATCCTGGAAAATAAAAAGATGAAAAATAATATAATAATATTAGCAATAAAACCAATAAATGAGTTTTGAGATAATGGATGTCTAGTTTTGTATTTATATGCAGCAAGTGTAGATATGGGTTATCCTGGGTTCTCCAGATTTCTGTGGCATTATTCCTTAATAATATCAAATTACCTGCAATTAAAGCAAATGCTCTTAACACCTCTGACCAGTCCTCTAAGAATAGACCAACAAGATTTACATGTATTTTGAAACCTCTGATATCACACATATCTACAAAATACAAAGTTACTTGAAACAAAAAGAAATGTTACCTGTGCAGCTGTCACATCACCCAACTGCAAGCAAAGGCGACCGAGAGCAGAGTACAGTCCTGCAGCTGAATTTGGATCCTCCTGGGTGAGTCTCTCCAACAGGGACCCTGCTAGTCGGAAGTCCTGAAGTCATGAAATTGGAAAATGCTTATTAGTCCAAAGATAATGGAAATATTAATTGGAAAATCAATTAGGAGCAAAGCCAAGTGAAATTTACAAATCAAATGTAAACTGTCAATGGTAATCCAATGGCATCTCCATGGTTTAACCCAATGCCGCAGGGTGGTTTCCCAATGCAAAAGCCCTCTCTCCCAGGCTGAATTCATAGTGGCTTGGGCCCTACTGCCAGGGTATCATGTTGGCACCATAGTGGCATGACCATACATGCCCCCAGCAAACAGGACCGGTGTACCATGGCACATATGCACATGCCACCCAGAATACAGTCCAGGCATGCCATGGCATGTATGTACATACCACCCGGTGGCAAAGAGTTAAGAAAAGAATGTAATAAAATTCTGTACATGACAATAAAATAAGAGTATAATGTAAGGAAAACCATTTAATTTCATTTGATACAACATATGAAATATATTTCACAAATACCTTACCTTCAAACTGACTGCACAGTTTGTAATGGAATAGAGTACTTTCAACCGCCTTGTTCTCCAAAGCTTAAGTGAGTCATCACGCATGTTGCTGGTCATTTCTAGAGTGCTTCCATCTTCACTAAGCCCACTACTCAGGTTTTCAATGATCTATATCAAACAGAGGAAGTAGAAAAGTAAGTTTTGTGAAACTGCAGTTGCTATTTATTATTACTACTACATCATCCACATCATACCCAGAAAATATGGAAGTAAAAACATATTTACCCGATTACAATTCCTAAGGAGTGCATTCAGGCGGTCAAGTGCCTGAGTGTGTTTTCCCAGATACTGTGGCAGCTCTGCTACTAGCAACCTAAGATATTAGTTTGGTTCAATTATAATGCCTGATTCAAGTACATTACAATACTTTGTTACAATAGTTTATAATATTTAATCAGAGTATTATCTCCTAAATTTGGCAGATAGTCATTACTTACAAAATGTTAAAGCTTACTTTCCATAAACTATGTAATCCCATTATCAATTATCTTATCAGTATTATGAAATATAATTTGCTTTATCAAAATGAGGTAAATATATAAATTAATGAATACAATTTAAGTAATCAATATAAAAAATCTAAAAAAAATATTTATGATAGGTATGTAAGAAAATATGAGATTTTAATATACACACAATACATTTGTATATGATTACTTTTATCAATGAACGGACTGATCATATGGGGTACGTGAGGAAGATGAAGGAACAAAAGAGAGAAGGGATAGAAAATCAAAGAAAAATCTTTACATTACAAAGGAGAAGGAAGAGAGAAAAATTGAGAAATATCTACACTGAAGAAATGAGTAGGGAAATGATACTAGAAATATATTAGCACCAAAAATCTTCCTACCTGAAGCCAAAGGGGACCATAGATCCTCTCCTTCCCCCGTACAACTCAGGGTAGAACTCAAAGTACAAGTCAGGAGCATCTAAATCTCCAAAGTACTGGCATTCCACTTCAGCAAGGGAAAATCTTCGCAGTTTTATCAGTAAGGCTATTCTGGTGAACCATAGCTGCAGGAAAGTGGGAAAATGATGAATAGGCTATTGTTATGATCATTTCTAAAGAAGTCACATATTATCAATATATAAAATGATAAACTCTATATCAATAGAAAGATTTTTCTTGTTCTGTCACAAGAGATATTTTGCATATTCCATTTTTTGCTTTTTTGAACCAAGCCAATGATTCTCTCCTTTCTTTTTATTCTTACTTGGATTGAGTGAGCAGTGTGTTTACTTGGATGACCTGCTCTTCCTTCACCTTGGCCATAGACAGTAAGAAGCTGAGTTGTTAAGTTTACAGCAGCATGGTAACACCCAGCTGCAATCAGTTGACGCAGACCTCTGTCATCTTGTGTGACTGAGGCAGCCGTTAAGACCACTCTCTTTGTTGAAGCCTCTTCTCCCAGGTAAGTCCGTACCAGATTCTTCACTGGGTCACCCTGGACAAAGGAGGAGGCTTGTTTTGAAGATGGCAAAAGCTGGCAAAAATTCTAAATTATGAAAGGGCCACTAAAACATTATTACACTGGACCAGTTTTAAAATTATCAGAGACAAATTTTATGAACTGTATGAGTATGCTCTTGGGGCTCATTGTCTACACCTGTTCTTTGTAAGTTTTCATTTCATCTACATATATATGCAGTATATATACATTATATATAGGTGTATGTGTATGCGCCCGTGCACACACACACACACACACACACACACACACACACACACACACACACACACACACACACACACACACACACACACATACACACACGAACACACACACACACACACACACACACATTATATTTATATATATGAATATATAAATATGTTAACCCATACGCCCCGGATTTACGTTCTGTCCCCTGTAG